TTCAGTTGAGAAATCATGACTTCTTCACCTCCTACGATTAGAAAAGAATCAAGAAGACCTTCCTCTTCCGATATCAGGATAAACACAAGAAAAACTTCTTGTTCTAGTAAAATATCCAATTATACTTTATATTATTTACATGTTGAAAAGAGATATATATACCGAATAAAATACTAATTTTTTTAAAAAATAGCCTTAGATGAATCATTGAAGACTTACAAACTTCTGGAAGCACTTCGAACAGGCACATTATAATTTATTATATATTCTTTGCTAAATTATGTATTTATTTTAATTAATAAAATATTATATTTATTTAGGCGATTTTTGAACGTTAGAAACAATACTATCAACATTTCAATTAGCGCAACCGCCAACTCCAAATTCTACTGCTGGTAATCCCAAAGCATTTTCTGAACATTATTCATGGAAAAAAGTTACAACATCTGTAAATAATTTAATGATTGGTAAACCGTGGTTTGACCATTATGGTGATATGACTATAACAAATCATTTGACAGGAGATCAGTGTATTTTAACTTTTAAAGCCAGGGGTTGGAGAGGCAAAGATGCGTTTGAGATTAGAGGTGTTGTGAAAGATAAAGATGACAAAGGAATTTGGGAGATTGCAGGTAGATGGAATGAAAGGTTGGTTGCAAGAAGAATAATTTTAAGTCCTTCGACACATGAAGAGGATTTGGGAAGTGATGCAGCGGCCTCAAAAGCTAAATTAGTACATGAATTGTCACCAACATTTAAACTCGAATCACCAATACAGACATCACCAATTTCAACCACCCAACCACAACGAAGACCAATTGTATTGTTATGGGAAAAGCATCCAGCACCTGAAGAACCTTTACCATTTAACTTAACACCATATGCAATGACATTAAATGATTTACCCAGTTCATTGAAAATATGGATAGCACCTACAGATTCAAGATTGAGGCCTGATCAAAGATCAATGGAGTTAGGTGATTATGAATCTGCAAGTTTGGAAAAAAATAGATTAGAGGAGAAACAAAGAGAAAAAAGAAAATTAAGAGAAGCTGGTTCTATTCCAGAATTTCAACCTAGGTGGTTTACTAAAGAAATTGAAGAGGACACCGGTGAAAAATATTGGAAATTCAATCATGAATATTGGAAAGAAAGAGAACGTGTCGGTAGAGAAAAGATTCAAGGCATTGGAGATTCTAAATGGAATATTGATGATGATGATATTTTTTAGAATTTTGATTTAATTTTAATTTTTAATTTTAATTTTTAATTTTTAATTTTAATTTTGTAGTTAGTTTTTGATAATTCGTTAAAAACATTTTACTCCCACCATATATGGCACTTATTCACCGTTCTAGATTAAAAATGAGCATGGTGGAAGTTTGATTTTTTTGATTTTGTAATTATAAACATTGATAAGTTGATTTTGCAAACTGTAGTTCTAGGAAATTATTAATAAGCTGATGAAT